TTTCCTGTAACAGATCAAATTACGAACGAAGTCCTCTAAAAATCTGAAGAGAAATATTCACTAAGTCTGAAAATTCGTGATTCGTCGAAAGAAAGGCAACGATCGAGGGCTCATGCGGTGTTCTTCTTTAGCATGATTCTAAAGAGCGTAGGCAAAGAGGGAATTACGCCTACCTTTTCTTTGAGCGATTTGTAACATTTCATTTTTTTTTCATTAGAAAAGGGTGAAAAAAAAGGAAAACATACAGAGAAGATAAGGGAGGAGAGAAGAGAGAGGGAAGATAAGGATGAAGAAAAACAAGAGTTAGAGCAGAAAGAGGAGAATAATGAGAGAAAAGTAAGGAGATGAGGGAGAAAAATATAGACAACACAGGAAAACAAGCGAAAGAAAGAGAGAATAATAATGACAATAAATAAATAAAAAAAATAAAAAAAAAAGCGAGAAGCCCGAAAACATAGGGAATAAGAGGGTGCTGGTGCTCAGCGGTCAGCAGGTTTTAAAGTTTTTCAACTAAACTTTATTTTCAAGTTTATTTAAAAATGCATTCATTCCATTTCGCAGTTCTTCAAATATAATGTAAACATCTTTAGTTGTGCTTGGTTTAGAAAAAAAGGGGAAAAAGGGGAAAAAAAAATCTTCTCCAATTACAATAATTAAGTACGTATCAATTAGGTATTAAAAATAAACTTGATCAAAAAATAATGATTGATCGTCAAATTAACATATCAGGTAATGTTATCTTCAATAAAGAGGGGAAAATGGCACCTTTGTCTAAAAACTCAAAAGAATTAATCGAGGCAAGGAGATCACTAAAAGTGATTAAACAGGGGCTGAGATAGCATTTCAGGATGCGTCCGCCATATTGAATTTCCGAATTTTGAAGATACGCCTGATAATTCGAGTTTCTCGTCTATAAATATCTTTAAGTTCAAATTTCACAAAAATAGATCGGACAGGAGCCGAGATTTATCTACCAATCATAGAAAGTGACAAAAGTTCACGGAGAACGGCAAGGAAAACAATTTTATGAATTTTCTTGAGAAAAAATATACATGCAAAGTAAATTCGGAACGTTGGAACAAATTTGGTCACCGTTGACATGGAAGTTCACGATTCTGATCGGTCAAAACACCTGAGAACCGATCATAGCAGCGTCAGGTTGGGTTCAAGTTAGGTCACGCAACTAAACTAACTTCACGGATGTGCTGGAAGTATCACTCGAATTGAAGGGGCCCAAATCCCGAATTTGCACACACCATTTCTAGAACCTCGATCGATAGCTGGACTTTCTAGACTCTTTTTAACTTTCAATTCTCGATGGGCAGCCATATTGGGAAATAATAAGCTTATGGATAATTTGATGTTGCCAAATTTCTTCTACTAAAATACAGAAACTTCCAGATTTTCATGAATCCCCCAGATACCAACATCTTGTCCTTTCTCGAGACGTAGTGACAGCACTGTAGAAAAGTTAGGTGATTTGTCACAGTGGTTCCTAGCTTGGTCGAACTGCCATGCAATATATCGCATGATTTAAGTAAAAATTTCTGCGAATTTGGAATTTTTATCCCAAAGAAACGAATGCCCCTCCGCAATGAACACGAACCTTACGAATCATTCTTTTTTTCTCTCTCAGTTTTATTCTTTAAAAAAAATTCTGTTTTCATTTCCCTAAATTTAGCAAATTTTGTGGTTTAGAATAATTATTCATGCTGATACGCAAACGTTACCGTTCTTTTTTGGATACAAATTTAAAATATGCTGAGATTTTTTACTTTATCGATGCGATATATCGCATGTCAGCTAGACCAAGCCAGAAATCACCGTTACGAATAACCTAACCACTCTACAATGCCGTCACCACACATTAAGAGAGGCCAAAATGTTGGTATCTGAGGGATTCTGGAAAATCTGGAAGCCTCTGTATTATATTAGAAGAAATTTGGCAACATCAAATTATCCATAAGCTTATTATCTCGCAGTATGGCTGCCCATCGAGAATTGAAAGGTAAAAAGAGCCTAGAAAGTCCAGCTATCGATCAAAGTTCTAAAAATGGTGTGTGCAAATCCAAGATTTGGGCCCCTTCAATTCGAGTGATACTTCCAGCACATCCGTGAAGTTGGTTTAGTTGCGTGACCTAACTTAAACCCAATCTGACGCTGTTGCGATCGGTTCTCGGGCTTTGTGACCAATCGGAATCACGAACAATGAAGAGAATATGCTGATTTTTTACTAAATCTATGGGATACATCGCTTGTCAGCTAGATCACGCCAGAAATAGTGACGAATCATCTTAAACACAGAGATCCAACACGAAACGACCTAGACGTGGCTTGATCCTAAAATCGAATCAAAGCGATAATCTCATCAAATCGCGATAAACCTGCACAAGTTGACTCCAGAAACTCAACAAGGTTCCGTCGATGAACTTTAACGGTCAGTCGAGGAGAGGTGAAACAGTTCCACCACCGCTCTCAAGGGGGCGATACGCGGACGACAAAGGTTGCGGACTGTGAGGAAATCGAAGACTTTTCCCTCGCATCAAATGAAATAAAAGATTTCCCGACTTAGAACTCCGAACCGGCAAACCTCGGCTATTTTTATCGTCCGTACGAGTGCACAGAGTAAGTGGCCCCACTCGTGTCCATATAAAGCGTAATTAATGCTCACTAAAAGCCTTCGTCTCGCGGCGAAAAGTTAATTCTTGACCGAGAATAAGCGAGCTCTTTCCTTGCTCTCTTAATGACGCTGTTAACCTGCTTCCGCGGTTGCGTCGATGTCATAGTTCGGACGAAACCACGAATTAATGTGCTGGTTACACGCTCAAATTCCCATCAATTTCCGATCAAATGGTGACTGGTGCGCACCATCTACCATCAAATTTCTGCGGCCTGCAAAAATTTGATGGTAGATGATGGAACTGTGGGGCTCATCCTTCATCTGATTTCCACCCAACCGTGCTTATATCATGCTTATTTCAATCAACACGCTGTTTTAATTAATTTTACTCATCAATCTAGATAACTCTCGACCGCCATCTTTGTCATCATTTTGATCGGAATTCGACGGAAATTTGAGCGTGTGACCAGGCCATAAGGGGGCTTGGAGGACGAGGCGCATAAGTGCAGTTTTTGCTATTTCGAGAAATACGTGTTTGAAGTTTCGAAATTACATGGATCCTCATGGCGGAAAGAAAGTTCAAACTGACTTTTTGATGCTTGAAAATTAGAATTTGGGAGTGACTTTTGCACAGGATATGCATTAAAGCTAGTTTCACTTGAAATCATTAATATCTCAATTTTTTTGAAAACTGCACTTATGCGCCTTGTCCTCCAGGACCCTCAATCTGCCTTATTTTTACATCAAAGTTGACACCTATGCGCATGTGCAATTTTTTAGGATTAGACGAATTCTGAAACCGGTGGCGAAATTTGCGGATTGTCGTGGAATTCAGCGTGCACCTTGTGGCGAATCGATTCATTTTTATGATGATATGACAGCGCTGTGTCCGATCTTAGTGCCTCCGTGGAGTGATTTAAACATCTCTCGGTGAACACTCAAATCGAGTTACAGGCTAGGAGTTTGACAAACGGGTCGATTTTACGTGAGGAGGGAATTCCGCTCAAAATCTCTTTACGTAATCTACGAAAACTATTTGTGCGTGTTACGAATTACTGTTTTGATGACTGACCCTGGACTACTACTTAAAACAAGAAACTCGGATCGACAGCTAAGGCTGAAATTTTTAGATACCTGACTTGAAATCTCTTTAATATTGTATAAAATTCGAAGGATTTAAACGCAAGCTCTCATTCTGTTCAATATGGTGGTATGATTTCAAGTTAATTTGAGTCAAGGCACTTTAGTACTTTTAAATCGTAAGATTTTAATCCAATAAAAACTAAAACTTTCAATTATGGATAATTAAAAATTTCTCATGGCCAATGTATTCTTGTTTGCAATTGAAAATGTATTGGAAGAGCGAAGAGCGTAATGATTTGCGAGGACTTGACTTGTTGCGCCTTCAGGTTCAGATGATACGCCACGCTTCAACGGAGGGTTAATTTAGTAACTAGTTGCGTGACCTAACCAAACCCAACCAGGTTTTCCCATCGTTTGTAGAACGTGTTGAGCGGGTGAGCTACTAATAGACATTGCTGTAAGGTTCATTCTATCGATAAATTGATAAAAGATCGAGAAACCATATAAACTTTAATAGACACCATAAAACAATTTTTTGCCACAACTCCCCCCAGTCCCCCCCCTTTGGCTGGGCAATCTTTGTAGCCAATCAGGTTGCAACTTGCCGCCCATAATTCGCTCAAAGCAGGATCGGGTCCTACTTTTCGCGTGTAGCAAGCAGGTGTATCTGGCGCTCGAGGTGGGTCGAAAAGTAGACGCAAACGCTAGCCAAAATTCATCAAGCAACTGAGTTTATTTCTTAAATTCAACAGATCGCAGATTCCCTTTGGTTTGCAACCCTGCCAATTTGGTTGGAAAAGTCGACCGAATCCACTCGCGGAAATTCGCCTCAAAAGGAACCGCAAGGGACGAGTTTTGTTTTTTCAGTTTCACCATCCATGAGCTTAAACCAAAGACGAAGTTGCCGCAGAATGAAGAAGATGAAATTCCCAGACATTTCCCTGAATTTCCCAGACATTTCCCTGAATTCCCTGTCACATTTTGGTAATATTCCCTGACAAAGAAGATGTGCCACGGTTAAAAAAACATAATCTCAAGTTTTCACGCAAAATCCATTGTTTAAAACGTCAAACCAAGTTTAGGAAGCGAATAAAGGTGACTTGACGATTTTTTCCTGACATTTTCGTCATTTTCCCTGACATTTCTCGGTTTTCCATGTATTCCCTGACTATGAAAATCCTGGAAAGAGAGAAAAAGAGAGGGGAACCGCAAGGGACGAGTTTTGTTTTTTCAGTTTCACCATCCATGAGCTTAAACGAGAGAGAGAGAAGGGACGAGAAAAAGTTCATTGTCTTACCTCAGAGGATGTCAAGTAGCAGAGACGTGAGTCGGTGCTCTCAATGGATGCCTGCTGCACGATACCGTAGCGTCCCTCCCGGTCGCTCATGTAATCGGAGCGTAAGCTGTCTTGCCTCTCGAACATGTTCCTGAAAACAGAATCACACCAACAGCGTCAATATAAATTAATACAACTCGCGCCTGCGAGAGTGTGTATGTGAGGGAGGGTGCGAGGGTGTGTGTGCGCCTTGTTAGGGTGGAGCGTTTTGGGGAAATGTCCGATCGAGTTCGGACATATGACATTCGATGCTCCTTCTGAATACGAATCGAAATGGTTATGTTGAATTTTGCCGAAAAATTCGATCTTCTGCAAGTAAATTGGACCTAAAGGGCGTAAGTTAAAAATGTGATTGTTGAAAGATTTAAAGAAGCATTCCTGCTTGGAATTGACGAGTTGTGGCCCTATGACCAAAAATTTCGTCCGTTTTGGCGTATCTTCAACTTTAGAAGCAGTAACAGCATATTTGGGGCGCGCGAGAACTTAAGGAGGTGCGTGGCGCCGCCTTGTGTCTTTTTGACGAGTCGAGGAATGCTGCATCTGATCAATGATTGCGCGAGAGATGAGACGAGACGGGAGAGACAAAACTGACAAGAATGCCACAAAATTTAGAAAATGAAATTCCTTGAAGTATCCCGGATTTCCCTGACACCTTTGAGTAAAATTCACTGACAAGTGGAATGCAATTTGGCAAATAAGACATACTTTGAAATAGTTTTTAGGCATTAAGGTAAATTTACAATTTTTCCCTCATCAGCCCGCAGAAGGCTCATTGTCAATGTTATGGAAAAAGTTTGATGACTAGTTTCTCATTCAAAATGTTTTTTCCCGTATATGAGTTTTCACCAGGAGAAAATTTACAACTATCTTCATTGGCGGCCCAAGAGAGCGCTAACGTAAAATTTCAAGCGATAGAGGAGATTCCCTGATTCTCCCAGAAATTTTTCATTCCCTGATAAATCCAGTTTTCCCAGTCCTAGACATAAGGAATTAAATACTTCTATCTGACTCCTGCGTCATGTATTTTTTCTGCATTCCCTGATTCCCTGTTGAATGGCGGTTTCCCCAAGTCCTAGGCATGAGGGTTTAAATGCGTCTATCTGAGCAGATTCTCCGATTTTCCCTGAAAACACGGTTTTTCCCAGTTCCATTTTCCCTATATGAAGCTTTGAATGCGTCTATCTAAGCAGATTCCCTGATCCTCCCTAAAATTTTTAATTCCCTGATGAATCCCAGGTTTTCCCGATCCTAGAAGCGAGGATTTAACAGCTTCTATCTGATTCCTGGAAAATATGTATTTTTCCTGTTTTCTCTCCTCCCTCGCGCGACTCCGTCAATCCAATTTCCGACTGGGTGACTAATCGACTCCGCTGTCTCGCGAGCCCCGCGAAGGGACGACCGGACCCGCGCGGAGGGATTTTCCGCCAAAGCGAGCAACCGTGCGAAATCACTTTCGCTGCCCTTGGGCTTGGGCTGAAAATGTCATCAAACTTTTTGTAATTAAATTTCATTCGTTACGCGTCAGGACTTACAATCCAAGCGGCTTCCGACGAAAGTATTACTCGAGTAATTGGAGCCCGCCCCTCGTCTCTACGCAGTGTTGCCGCATGCACGGAAAAAAATTAAATGTTGATTTAGCATTTATATAGTTAAAACATGTCCGACAAGTTTCAAATGCTGATTTTGCATTTGAAGAAATGCTAATTTCACCACGCTCACTGTAAAACGAACAAATTCAAATGTTGTGTTAGCATTTTTGTATTGTAAAATAAGCATTTGAAAGTTGACGGCCTTTTTTTTACATTTTAAATGCTAAATCAGCATTTAATTTTTTCCGTGTGGTGCGATACGCGGTGATAGCTAAAAATTTCCGAATGCCCTGAAAAAATTGTTCCTTGGCTCAAGCCTGGCGATTCTTGAATTTGCCACCGAGATTCTTTTGTCTTGTATCACGCTGAATTTGTCTCGAAACGAGAAAAAAATGCTAGGTTTAAGAACAAAACTTCCTAAAAAAGTCTTGCTACTTCAACTCAACTATCGGCTTTTAATTGGTCGGAATTCGATTAGCTTCTTCTCCCCTTGAAACTGATTTAATGGAATTTTAGATAAAATTTTTGGTTTTCTCACGAAAAAGTACGTGAGAAAAATTATACTACAACCCTACGAAGATTTCTTGCCACCACCCAATTTTCGGCCATCAAGGCTTTTTCAGACCTGTGGACAGTCTGAAACACCTATATCGTCGATTCCTGAACCAAAGAACGTAACTTTATTCCAAGGTTTCAAAAATAATTGATTCAAGCGATTCAATTTTTTTACAAAAATGTACCAGTGCCATTTACGTCCAAAATTTGGCTGATTTTTGCAAAAGATCAGAAGGAGACCCGGTGAAATTTTGAGTTCGAAACGCCCGCGATTCTCCTGCCTGGTAAAAATGCAGTTTGCGAGGGGAAATTTGGCAACATTGAAATGCAGTTACGTTCTTTTAAGAGACAATACAGGGCAACTAATGGCACATATTTCTTTTCAGAATTGAGCTAGAAATGGTACTAAGTTCTTCTTTGCAAAAAACAAACCATTTTGACCGGTCGCGCAATCCGCAATACTCTGCACCGAAAAAAAGGATGCTGATGTAACATTGTAGGCGTAAAAAAGTGTGCGACAACTCACAGAACGCTGAATCAACCGCCACAGTGGTTAGTTTTACATCTTGACATTGCTAAATTTACTAAGAAAGAAGAAATGGTACTAAGTTCTTCTTTGCAAAAAACAAACCATTTTGACCGGTCGCGCAATCCGCAATACTCTGCACCGTAAAAAAGGATGCTGATGTAACATTGTAGGCGTAAAAAAGTGTGCGACAACTCACAGAACGCTGAATCAACCGCCACAGTGGTTAGTTTTACATCTTGACATTGCTAAATTTACTAAGAAAGAAGAAATGGTACTAAGTTCTTCTTTGCAAAAAAAAAAACATTTTGACCGGTCGCGCAATCCGCAACACACTGCACCGAAAAAAAGGATGCTGATTTAACATTCTAGGCGTAAAAAAGTGTACGACAACTCACAGAACGCTGAATCAACCGCCACAGTGGTTAGTTTTACATCTTGACATTGCTAAATTTACTGCTGCAGCGGTTAATTCAACGTTTTATGAGTTGTTGCACACGTTTTTACATCCAGAATGTTAGATCAGTATCCTTTTTTTTTCGGTGTGACTGAGTCTGAGGTCTTCGATTCAGAGTGAGTGATTGGCAACGCTGCAAGTGGAAAAGTTCAAGTTCGAGGTCAATCGAGTTTGAGATAATTACAAGCGTGAGGGTTAGCGCCAACCCCATTCGGCGAGGGTTGTCATCGGAGGCGAGACGAGAAATTAAGGGGGGAACTAAGGGGGGGAGGGTTGGAAGTCAATTCTCGGTAGAGTACATGTTGGCGGCGCTTGAATAAAGCGATTGATGAGCAATAAATGAACAAAATCCGTCAAATTGTCAAGCGGTAGTCTTCCCTTTAAAAGCATGTTTTCATGCTAAGAGGGGCTACGCAAATCAAAAAGAACTAATGTACAGGGTTTGCATCCTTCATAGTTCATTTTGATTTGGTTATTTTTCGTATACAGCCATTTAGAAATAAATACGTCAAAATATGTTCGACTTAGCCAAGGGTGTCTACTAAAACAAGCGGGCCATAAATCAATTCTTGTACTATCATATATATAAGCTCCAAGACCTCCTAAATTTGCAAATCTGGTAACGCTTCGTTCCAGCGTTCTACCGGGCCAATTTTCTTGATTTTTGCGGCTATCGACAGGCAATTGTCTCTAAATGAGCCCGCTTTATTCAGATTTTGAAAATATGACCCAGGTTTTTTTACATTACGCGGTAATGTTGCGAATTCTTCCATTTAAACAATGTGAATTTTTATTTTTTGTCATAGTTCGTTTGAGCGTTCTACTGGACCGATTTCCATAATTTTTGCGGTTATCGATAGGTAATAGTCCCTGGATGAGTCCGCTGTAATCAAATTTTGGAAATATGACCCAGATTGTTTTATAATCGAGTATACCTGGGAGCTTAGAAAGGGGGCAAAATTGAACTAAGCGGGAATTTGTGAGTCTTGGTCTGTTAGTGTAAGGTAAGTGAATCGAAGGTATGCTACTTTGATTACAGACTATCCAAAAGTAACGAAACGCTCCGTTCCGTTTCGGTCTTGGCCTGAAGTTGGAAATAAATGGCGGTTTTCTTATTTGATTCTTATGGGTTCAATTGTTCCCGGCCAGAGGGAAATTGGACAAATGAGAGTCGGGTATGAAAATATTTTCATTTTTTTTGGGCCGTTTCTTCGTCGAAGAGGGCCTAAGAGAGGGCGAAGCGCCCTCTAGGGGTTGGGCCGCGTAGCGGCCAGGGGGCACAGTCCCCTAGTTACTTGTACTTTTCCAGTACATTCCCCATCTGTTCCAATCCAATTTCAGTACATTCCCCATTCTGCACGCCTGGATTTTATCCATTTTTTTTCCTGCTCTATAATCTGAGATTACCGAAACACCATTCTGTGACTGACGCAACTGACCCAGCATAACCTTTCGAAAAGTCCTTGATTTTGGTTTTCAAAAGCTGTCACGAGCCTGGCAGGAAAAATCGAGGGAATTTTTCGTGCCCCACTCGCTACCCTGAAAGTAGGTGATCCCCACGAAGCCAGTGGCGTGGCGTGAATAATCGATTATCGATACCTCGCCATTTGAAGCTATGGTGAAGAATCGATTATTAAAGTGTTCGCTGTGAACACCCTGATAATCGATCATTTTTCATAGGTTTAAATGGCATAATAATCGATATATCGCAATTCACGCCACGCCACTGCACGAAGCCTCCTGGAATCGGGCGCTCGGCGGTTCATCGTCCGTGATGAGGAATTGGGTTACTTATCCGCGGCCCAGGCTCAAGACCGACTGTCATCACTCTTAATAATTTTTCCCCAGCCGCGACGGAGAGTGACAGATTTGAGCGGCGCGTCGGCCGCTCATCGGAAGTATTGCGTGCCCAGTCCCAACGGATGATTAATAGAGCCCCTCAACTCGGAAACTAAGCCGAGCTAAGGAAGAACGCCGTATAAGCCTCCAGACGTTGTCAAATCTCCTTTGAAAAAACGTTCATTTTTTTAAAACAACATGTGTATCTATTTTTCCCAATTTTTTCTAACGCCTTGTCTCCACGGGACGTTTCACGGGATTTTCCCCAAGTTCGAATCGCAGGAATGAAACTTCTGCGCTTTTTTCTCGCTAAACAACACAGCAAAGAGCCATACACAAAAAGGGCCCAATAACGGAAAAACTCGCTTTGTGAAAGATGTGGAAAAATACTACAGGAACAGCTGTACGAATCACCGCAAACCGCGCTTCAATATCTGGATCTGGTGCCTCGTAACAGCCGGAGTTCGACATTAAAACACCTGCAAAAATGGGTGAAAATCGGGGACTTGCCCCCCCCCCCCCCCCCATAACTCGAAAACGGTGCGTATACTCAATCTGAAATTTTAGTATAAGTAAAGGGTCACCCTAAAGACGAAAAAAACCTCACATCGACCCCAATTTCGAGGGCCCAAAAACGGGCCACTTTGTGCATGGCTCTTTTCTTCTTCTTCTTTTTAAGTCGTTCCTGGGACTCCACAATGACTCTTAGTTGACACTGGGATTAATATTAACTAACTCACTATTTTTCCCAACTTCACAGGTGAGATTTCTCCCTGGAACAAAGCCCATGAAACGTCCCGTGCCGTGGAGAAAAGGCATCAGAATTTCAATCGCGGTTTAATATGAATTTCCTGAGGATTTCAAGCGAAACTATTTAAAATTCACCTCGAAAAATACATAAATATCGAAGGTAATTTGACAACGTTCGAATGTTTGGACAGCGTTCTTTCTTAGCACGGCAGCCGTGCTACGGAAGAACGCTGTATCATCATTCGAATGTTGCCAGTTTCCTCGCGATTAAAGATTTATTTTTGATGAAATTTATGAATGTTTCTACTTGACAATGGAGATGTTGCATGTGTGAGGGATTTACGATTTGTCCATTGATTCTTATGTAAAAGTTCGCGTGAAACACGATGGTGCCACTGGTTTTCTCTGAAATCAACTCCCAAGCTCAAAAAAAGCTCTCAAGTTGATGCCAAAATAGAGGGGATATCCCACCCTACCCCGAGAGTCCACCTCTACATCAATACAAACTCTCCATGCAAAGATAGGGAGCAAATACATTAGCAGGGTTGCTGTGTTTTCAGTTTTGGAGTCCCCAAATAAAAAGGCAGCCCTGCTAATGTATTTGCTACCTATCTTTGCATGGAGGTTTTGTTTTGATGTAGAGGTGGACTCTCAGGGTAGGGTGGGATATTCCCTCCATTTTGACCTCACTTTGAGAGCTTTTTTTGAGCTTGGGAGATGATTTCAGAGAAAACCAGTGGCACTATTGTGTTTCTCGCGAACTTTTACATAAGAATCAATGGTCAAATCGCAAATCCCTCACACATGCAACATCTTCATTCCCGATAATCCCAATTAAATAGCCTATAAAATTCTCAAGTTTCCAAGAAAATTCTTGCCTTATCAAAGGGAACTGGGCATTGCCTAATGGGGGTCATACGTCGTGTTCTTTCATTGTAAGGTAGAGCGCACTGCAGGGTGAGGGGCAAGTTCATATGCCAGCCACTTTAAACAACCGGATTTTGTCTTCTGTGGGAAGCCTCAACGGGGTGACGACAGAAAAGACAATTTTTAATAAGAAAACTTGAAAATTTAATAAAAAGTCATTGTTTTTCCGGAGGTTAGGGAATTATTTCATTTGACAAGGGGGCTGCACCGAGCACGAGGTTCACATTACCAAAAAAAGTCGGAAAAAAATGTAGGCTGAGAATTTAGTAGTTAGCATTTCAGTCAGTAGCTCCTTGTTTCAGTACTTGCTCAGTAGCTCGTTGAACCCTACATCCCGAACTGCGTCTGCTCGTTAATTAATTAAAAATTGTCGCAGGTGAGTTTTTTATTAAAAAAATTTTAAAATTGTTTTATTAACTTAACTTGTGCAGGAATATCGCTTCCTCTTTCATACATCCTATATCATACCAATAAATGGGAACATAATGAGGCTACAGGGTGTCTTTTTTGGGGGGGAGGGGGAAGGGGTAACAGAGAGAAAAAGTGGCGAATCTTCTCGAAGATATGACATTTTAACTCCCATATTCCGCCGGACCCGGCACAATACAGGGTGTCTCTTGGTTCGAAATTTTCAGAGAGTCCGGAAATAGTACTGATTTTTTAAAGGCCATCCGAAAGCACTGAAAATGTGCGGAAATTGAGCAAAAAGGTCCAGAATTTTTTTCTTCATACCTTACGTGTTTTTAATGAAGCCTGCAAGCAAGTATGCAATCGCCTGCGCATTGATTCCTAAATTAGTACATATTTGCCTGCAAGATAGCCATTGTGTAGTCAGTTAAACCTCAAGCCACCAATGAAATTTTGTATCGACATCATTTTTATCGCAGTTCAAGCAAGAATTTTAAATTTTCGAAATTTTTTTTTTCTCCAAATGGGGTCCTGAAAAAGTACTAAATTTTTCTGCTAAGGAGTTATTGAATTCCTTGGGAATGTACAGAAAAAGTACAAGTAATGGTAAAAATATTGCTTTGTGGCCTGAGATGTTTCTAGGTGTTAGAGACCAAATTGAAATTTTTTCACAGGAAAATCACACATAATATACTTTGAACTACAAAAAGCATGCAATTTTCAATGTTTTTGAAAGACCTATCGGCCCATTTGTTTTGCACTCAAAAATTGAAAACTTTCAATAAGTGAAAATTAAAAGAATATACAGAGGAGAACTCATTATTTCCAATTCAGAGTCTGTAAAGAGATCCCGGATTTTTTGTACTTTTTAAGGAAAGTTCCTAAATCCTACGCGTTTTAAGTCACCTTTTTCCCCTTGATACTTGAAGATTTTTCAGAGCGCTGGGATCCCCGAGAGTACAAAGAAGTAAAAAACATTCTTTTGAAGGTCATAAACAAAATATCTAAATAATGCAAAGGCCAATGAAATTCGTATATATCAGGGCGATTTTCCGAAATTCAGGACATTCAAGAACTTGAGAAATCGAAAAATAATTGAAGACAATTAAAGTACCTACTTTTCGAGATGTCATGACTCCCCCCAGCGCTGTGTTTCATTCACACAATTAAACTGGAGAGATCGCCTGTATCTCTCTCTACTCTGGAAATAATTATTATCTCTCTCTTTCTCTCTCTCTTTCTCTTCAACCGTTTAGATTTCGAGCACTGCCCCTTCTGATTCTAATTCGATTTCACAGATAAGTTTAAAGTGGAACATCTAGTTTGATATGAATATGAACGAGGCAAAAAGCAAGTCTCACCTTCTTTCGAAAGAATCTGCTGGGTTTGACTTATAACCGCTGTCACCTAAACTTGAATCTTGCCGGAGAGAGGGCAACGAGTCCCACGGCGAACGGCGGTGAGGCCTGGGTGGTTGTCCATCTGGTGGTTGGTACGTTGAGGTACTTATTCCAGATGTAGCACTGCCAAGAGTTGAGCTTCCCGACCTCCAGCCATCGCTGTGACGGAACCATTGAGCACGGGCAGATTCACCCAAACAAGAAGCACATCGACTGAGCACAGAAAAAACACACAATTACAGCCTAAAGTACTAAACACATGGTGTCTGGAATTCTTGACCATGCCCACTCTCTGATTTTTTTTTTTATTTTCAGGAGCTCACTCTCTAATGAAAAACCAAAGTTTTTTATCCATTTTCACAGGATTTTCTTGGGGAAAACTATAGAATTTTCTTTTATCATTCGGCCGATTCTTGTCGCACATTCAAATTTTTAATTCCGAAATTGTTTCTGATGTTTATATTATCTGGCCAATTAAGGCTTCTCAATTATTATGATGATTTAAAGATTCAAATGTGTCATTTACAAGGTGTATAATGGTGGTTCAGGTGCAACGATATGAACCTTAATAACAGAGTTCGAAACTCACCAACGCCAACGCGCCAAATGCGCCTAAGAAATAGGTCATGGCGCCTAAAAAATGAAGGCTCTGCGCCAATGTGGCCCCTAAAAATTGCCCCCCACCTACAAAAAAAATCTTAATTTTTCTGTCAGATGATTTTTCGAAAGTTACAATTTACAGCTATTAGTTCTGTAACTAAAGGATCTTGCATCTAACTTTTCACTAAATGCGCCATGATATAGGCAAAAAGTCAATTTGGCCCTTAAAAAATCTTCAATAGCTTCTAAAAAGCGCACTTGATGGGCCACATGGCTCCTGAAACTCAAAAGTGAGTTTCAAACAATGCTTAGTAACAATAGATATTTATAAGTTCCGCAAACTTTGAAAACGAAACATCTCTAATCGAGAGAAGAAGAGATTCCCAATTTCAGGGAGGGATTCCCTGATAGGTCCTGGTTTTTCTCTGTCTTAGATATCATGCCATGAATAGGAAAATTCTTTGTGTTAAGAAAAAAAGAGACTTACTTGGAAGCACTATGATAACCACGATCACTGAGGTAGCCTCGATCCCTTGCCTCTCTGTCACTGAGATAACCTCTATCACGGTCGCTGACGTAGCCTCTTTCTCGATCGCTTACATAGCCCCTCTCTCGGTCGCTCATATAGCCCCTTTCACGTGCTAGCTCATTGCGATCACTGTAGTAACCTTCTCGATCTCTGCTACCTTGTCGCTCAACAGCGGGCATTCTGTGCGCTAATGGTGGGAGAGTTGATGACTTGTTATTGTTGTTCCCTGGAGTGGAAAAGTAAAATATGTATTTTTTGATGCAGACAAAAAATAATAAACGATAAGATTACAGTAAAAAATACTGCCTTGCTAAGGAAAAATGCTGTAAGAGCACTCGAATGGTGCTTAATTTCTCTCCAAAGAGTGCGATTTTTTCAAAAGAGTCATAAATATTTTTCCTTGAAATTTTCAGACACTTTAAATGGGATTTTGAATGAAATTCTCTAAAAATTTGGAAGAGAAATATTCACAAATTTTTCAAAAAATTCGTATTTTATCAGACGAAATTTGCCCACATCTCAAGGTTCATACAGCGTTTTTCCTTAGCACGGTAAAGTAGAAATTACAGAAAGTACACACGAACTATGAGAGAAAACTAAAATTGATTATTAAGATTGAAGATACGGATTTCCTGTTTCTTTTCTTAATCTATAATAAAGAGCATTGCTAGGTTCCATTATCTATGGCCAAAGTGCGATACCAATTGTCTCCATTGACGACTTTGCAGACTTTCTGTCATATTTTTTCTTTGGAAAGCAATTCAATGAAATTTCTTGAAAACTTCCTTGATTTTTCTTCTCTGATGGCAGAATATTACGGATGAATATTAAACTATAAAATTAGCTTTTTTCTTTTCAAAAAGCTAGATTAGGGGCAGCAATTTTGAGTCACCATAATGAAGATTTGCGGTTTCACACTGCTGCCGTGGATATGATTGTGACTCATACGAAAGTAGAACAAAGTTTAAAGGTTGGATGCAGTTTTAAAAGTTTGTCCGAGAATCTTCTTTCCTGAGAAATACAGTTGCTTTGAGAGGCCATGGACTGTCTTGGCATGAAAATGTTTGTATTTTAATGCAATGACTGGATTCCGAGCAATTGATGATTTTATGGACCACTAAACAAGGTACGAATTTCAGCATTCTGATCCATGTTTCTTAACTAAAATTCCACGTAAAACACAATGTGCACAACGAAAATTACCAAAATCAACTCCTTTCGAAGAAAATTAATGATTCTTGATCTGTGAATTTAAACCACCCGCTCATGAAAACTCAGTGCTCTACGTGATTCATATCGCGCGCTGGACGTTATCATGACAGTCTCTGCGATATAAAAATCTGGCAACCTCAATCTTGACGCTTTGGCTTAGCTATAGCAAATTGCTTATAGTTTGAACAAAACACGGTGGGAAATGAACATTGCTCGTTTGAGAAGCTTGCTGAAACCGTTGCAGTGCTCAATTTGACTCACGTATAGCTTTGAGTTTCTTGTCAGCGGGCAGTTCAACTTCCTCGTAACCGATGTGAAATAAAAACGTAAATATCTTCGTTTGGAGTTTGTTTCATTAGTTTTCGTTGCGCAAATCGTGCTCTACGAGAAATTCTGCTTAAGAAGCATGTATCAGAATACTTAAATTTGGACCTTGTCTAGTGGTCCATTGTTCTTGAATTTTTAGAAACGAAATACACAATGAAGGCAAGACAGGCACTTTCCCGAAGAAGAAAAATAAGTAGTCCATTGGAACTCTAATTCTATGCACTTGCAGCAATGTTCTATGTCAAAGTTATCAATTTTTCAGTATTGACGAAAATAATGAGAAGTACTTTCTTTATCTTTACGATAAAAATTAAAATAGTCAACAGATCACCCAAAACAGATTTTACGGAATGTTTCAACTTCTTTTTAATACATAGTGCATGTAATTTACTGAACTTAAAATTTAAGTAAAAAATAACGTGACTTACGTCTTCTTGATGGATAGGGGCTTCTTGTGTTCGCAGGAGGAAGTTGTTCAGCAAACTCTGAAAAAGCAAATGAGTTTTAAGATACATAATTCCGATTGAATGAAGAAACTTTGATCCTACTCTGTTCTGAACAAATGAGCCTATGATCTTGCAAAGTGCATCAAATTTTCCCCCTTCAATAATTTTGAAGACTTCCTGGTATGAATGGTAATTTTATGGAAAAACCACTCTAGATTTCTTGGAGAACTTGAGTTAATACATCAAAAGCATTGAGGAATTTATTTGGCAGTGCTTTCCAACAGATCTACCTAAAATAGTTTTATGTTGGGATTCAGCGATTAGTCCTAATTCCATTCCGCACAGCATACCAAACAAGCCCGAAGTCAATCTCTTTAGAACGGTACCTGGCACACTCCTATTTCACGATTAAAGTTTTGCTCACTTTTGCTCTTTCATTTTACATACTTGCCACCCTTCCTTGGCGCAGATAAATTTGATCTGAGCATCTATCCCGACACCGTTCACCAGAGAGATTAGCACACAGAAAGTTCAGATTTGAAAGTTTATCATACTCAGAAGTTTATGAGGAACAATGCATTGAAAAGAAGTGCAATTTAGTCACACTCCTACGTAAAAGGATTGCCCTGGAAAAAATTTCATGATCTTGAAGCAAATTAATGTTTGAAATTGGAAAATAGTGATTTTAAAAGGAAGGATTTTTAAGGGTGATTTTGCACTATTCATCTATCAAATTCTTTGCTTCAATTGTCGCAGAAATTCAATTCTATAATAGTTGACAGTAGTGATTTGAATCAACTCAAGGTGTGCTCGTTCCTTTATAAATTGAAAACACTTCTCATGAAAAGCTACATAACTATGAAGATTATAATTCAAAATCTTCGTCAACTGTTTAAGATGAATTTTATTTTAAGGTTCCGAACTTCTTTTGAGACTTTGCCCTGTTCTGTTTCATTACTCATATCACTTATTTACCTGGAGAAAGGCGTCATATTGACGTTTAATGACCATCTATGACGTAGAGCCTCTTCTGAACCACCTCCCAAGGTGGATCCAAGATAAACCATTGGTAATTTGACACAAAGCAATTCAACAGCACCAAAACAGAGGTTTAGAGCTCAGATCAAACAAACAGAAGGGAGTTATAAATAATTAAGAAAAAATGGTTCCAAACTTTGGAAAAAAATCAATTTCCTGCTGATACTTGAAATGAATGGCTCCTCCTAAATAAGACACTTGTAAAACTTGACGAGGATTGAGAATGAACTGGTGAAAATTTGAAGACATTTACAAACCAGAATAAATGTGACATACCTAAATTTTCCATACTCTGTGTCAAGAGAGCTTCAAAAGTGTGCAAGCTATAACTTTCAGCATCCATGCCCTTGGCCAGGGTATTGCGTAAGTGCATTTCATACTCTAACAAAAGGCGGCTTGTAGGTGAACTAGGGGTACTCACAGTCTGATAATCATGACCTCCATTGCGACCTGTATAAGAAAAAATACACTCAACTGAATTTCTGAGAAAGAGTCATAATTCAAAAGGTTTGCTATCAGTATTTTAAGTAGAGAAACGAATATTAAAACATATGACCTCTAAAATGAAAGAGTGAAACTGTGAGGCTTGCTGAAACTTTGAGAAAAAAGGAGAGGGATTTCCTAGTAAGTGGCAAAAAGTTTTGAATTAAGTAGATAAATGGATTACACTGGATGCAATGGAATTATAGTTGTGAGAAACGGTTGCTGGCATGCAGCAGAATATTTTTATTATGATGGTTAAACTCAGAAACAACGTACCACAGTTTAGAACATTTCAGACTTATTGTTACACTTAATATTTTTATTGAAAAACTTTCATTTCTTTTCTTGGGACTTCACATGATTATATTTCCCTACTGGTAAAATTTTGTTTTACAAGAATTTCAAGCAATCAGTCAAGTTATCTTATTCACTTTTGAAAGACTAAATAAGGGCAGAAAGTCTGAAATATCACAACCTAAATGTGCATCCTTTCTCACTTTAGCCATCGACAGATTTTATATTGATTCTGCTGGCCGCTGATAAGAAAAAAAAAACTTCCTGTTTTTTTCATTAACTCTTGTCCTTGTTCTCCTGATACTGTCTAGATCATTAGGCATGCATTCTATCACCAAAGACAATACAAAGTAAAAAAAATTATGATACGATAATCATCAAAGTAAGCACTAGAACTCAAAATTGGTTTCATCTGTCTAACCAAGACAGAAAAAGAAGGAATATGGTATTAAAGAAAGGCATCTTTTACGTAATAATGAGACTGTCAAGTTTGACTTTATGCAAGCTAAGTCCGTTACGCCCAAAACCTCTCACCATACAGCTACATATTTCGAAGACGATACGAGAGGGATTTAAACTAAATACGTAGGAGAATCAGAGACTTTTCATAACATTTGAGACAGCACTATCATTTGAGAATTTGAACAGCACCTTAGAAAGATTTAGATGACTCATCAGGGGAGAAAACGCATTTTAAGTAATGTTCTTCAAACAGTATCTTATCTAGCTCTGCTGACTGATTAGACTGTCATGCTCTCTTATAAAATTTGTTAAAAGAAAGTTAAAATTAGTTCAGATTTCATTTTAAAATATTAAAAGAGCAGAATAAAATATAAATAAAAAAATTGCAGACAGGGAGGAAAGCTATGTAAAATATTGCAAGGAAGCTCAATTGTTAGATTTGTTTATTTTTCTTCTTTTAGACTTCTTGATGAGTTGATTTGTAAACTGTTTTTAATCTTTCCCTATGGAACGTTCTTATGCAGTTTGCTTAGGTGCCGTGTTTTAAAGATGAAATTATTGCAGAATCCTGAGGAATAATATAACAAACCAGATGGAGAAACAAGGTATAAATGAGAGACACGATTTTGCTCCTGGGTCTGAGGATCATGGTAATTAATTTTTGATTAAGACAGAATTGATTTCATATTTATGTTTCTATAAATAGTTGCATTAATGAGCTGCAAGAGAAACGCCTCTCAAACAAAGGTTTGAAAGGTTCATCTACGGTAAGAAAGAAAATTGGTAAAAATCATTTAAGTACACGATATAATATTGATGTATGGGGTTTTCAAATATTGACTAAGCACACATATATTAAGAAGAACGAGATCATCAAAGATAGATGAATGACACACATGAAGAAGAGAAAAGAGACAAGATGCTACCTTGCTTATTCTTGATGGCTACTGACAATTCAAAACAGTCATAACTAAAATGAAAAATGAAGCAGCCCTTAGCTAAACATTAACAGAGCACAAATACTTTTCAAAACTTTTTCAACTGATTGAAAAAGAGCATAGGTACCTCACTGAATATTGTTAAATCAGGATAAGGCTTGGCAGCATTAGAGGATTTCTGGCAAAAAGGAGAAAAAATATCCAAAAGCATTTTAATTCTTTGTAAGGAATTTTTATTGGGTAGAATGTTGAGGATTTAATGAAAAATTAAAATGTGAGGAGAGAAGGCAGGGTTTTCAGGGTGACTAGCCTGGGGACTTCATGAGAGCAATGACAATGAAGTTTATGAACTAATGTAACAGATAAATTTAGGGTCTGTATTCAGGAAGAAAGCTCTTAATTTTTAACAAGTACTTGTAACTACAGCAGCATTTCAACGATTCCAGATAATTTTCTCTTGGTAATCTTAATTTCAAAAGATCTTTAAATGCTATCAAAGTTTGAGCTTTCTAAAACACTTGGACCATTTTTATTATCTTTTTAGAAGAGGAAACTACTGTTAAGTACCATAAAAACTTTGAGTTCACATTAATTAAATAGACATTACATAAAGCAGACGTATTTTTGGATCAGTTGGTGGCATACTTTGGTGTTATTACACCATTTTGCAACTGAATTTGACTCTCTAACAGTTTGCTTCTGAAAGTTACAACTCAGAAAAAATACTATACAGTGCATCGAGACAATGGTAAGTAACCCATCTACTAAGATAATGTCTTCAATTTTAACATTTTAATTTTGATACCACCAATTAGCTTCACTGCATGTTATGATGGTTAGAAGAAAATTGATGTGAAATAAGTGTAATGGTCTATCTTTTGCCATAAAAATAGCTTTAAGCTATCTGATGAAAATTAATTTTCTCCATTACTTGAGGCATACCTGTTAGAAAATTTCTTTTACAGCATCACAGAACTTGTAAACCCCAACTTTTAACAACTTTTGGCTGATGCGATGTAATTATCACCTCCTAAAAATCATTAACCTTTTAGTATTTTAGTATTCTTGTCAACTCAATTTTCTTAAGTTTCTTGGTGTGTACTCACAGCTGCCACTGGGGAGTTTCTCACGTATAAATTTGAGAAATGAAAAATATTTTTGACCGAGATACTGCAACCGATGGGAAAAAGACTTGAATAATTTTAAAATCAAGAGGATTGGGTTTCATGGTGACTTGAAAATAAAGAGACTTCGGGTTAAATGGAGGGATTGTGAAATGAAGCAAGTGCAATGAAATGAATATGAAGTGGTTATTCACCTCTTGGCGGTCTCACGTTAGAAGAGGGTTGATCTTGATCGGAATTCCCGTTACTTGAGCTAGGGGTCGTTGCGTAACACTGGTTGTTGAAGAGCACATTATCCGAAGGGGGCGAAATATCCCCCCTGACCCCTCGCTCGTTTCTGTCTAAATCAAGAAACAAGCCTGGCCCGTAATCTCTACACCCTATCCCATCCACTGAAAGAGATTCTGTAAATGAAACGAAATCACACACTAGATCAGTAACTCTGTCTAATGTCGGTGACCAGATTTGAGCTACTGGTTAATTTAATAAATGGTTGGGAATGATAGTTCATTACGTTAGCTGGGTCTCCTGTCTTGATGATTTAGTTGCTGGCGATCAATAGCTTATAAAGATCAATGCAACACTCGGGGTGAAAACAAAATATGACTGTTGCTTCTTTTGAAATTTTAAATATTACTTGATTGCAACTCGGTAATTCACACTGTAATCAGTTAAATTCAATCGCTTACTTTGTGAGACCCTAACAGTTTTCCCCCAAAATTCATTAGAAAATAAAACAAAAATGTACAGTTACACACTCAAAATTAGAAAACTTTCAAGAGAGAGTAAGTTGTTTAATGGAGAATGATATGAATATCATCGCGGAATTTGAGGATATCTTTAGAACAATCAATTTACTTTAAACATATTTTCACTGCATCATTGTAAATTTGGAGATCATTGAGGAATTAGGTTTCTTTTGAGGCACAGGAGTTACTTACAGAATTTTATTTTGAGTGGTGAATTTATTTTTTTGTCTACCTGAGGTGACTTTTTCTTTCTTGGCATTTTCTTCAGAAATACCAAGTTAGGATCTATATAGAGTTATAAAATTTATAGGAATGCTATTAAAAGAATTCTGTAAATCTCCCTCATGTTTTTGTTACCATTGAACCTCACCAAATGTAGGGGAAGCTACACCGATTTTAAAAAAAAAAAAACAGGCTATGAGACCTCGGCTTTTTGAAACATGAATAGTATTTTACACAATTTACGCAATTTGACCGCTTTGCAGTACAACTCCTGGAGGCGCTTCTGCCCCAGGCTTTATGCGTTACTTTCATGATTTTATATTGTAGCTTAAGATTTAAGGTTAGGGGGTATTATTGACCCCTATCCAACAATTAAGATGTCATCAAATAAAAGTCCATACACATTAAAAGGTGTAGAAACACAACATTCTGAGTGATTTAGGAAAAAATTGCATAATTAGAGTTGAGGAACTGACAACAGAAATTTCTGTGGACAGAATCAAGTGAGAGAGAGAACACAAACAGGATCGAGTGAAAGAGTGTTCCGTAATGTACATAATTCTGGTGCAATCAACAGTGCTGAGGTTGACTTGCTCAAGAATTTCTTTAATACGAGGGAAGAAACGTTTAAAAATATCAAACAGCCGGAGAAGGGATAGAGCTTGGTGCCACATGGGTTCTTGGGAGAAGTTTGAGTGCCGATCGAGGTACAAGACAAAATATACATCATTTGAGGAGAAAAGTGTTGGATTAAACTTGAGTTTGGCGTTTAGACGGAAAAGTTGAAAAGTGAGTGATTTGGTAGGTTTCTTTAATAAACTTTCAGATACATATAGAATACATTTGTTTAAAGGTGCATTTTAGCCAGATATTTCTGAAAAACCTTTTTTTTGGAAATCCTAAATTGAAGAAGAAAACACCCCATCTTGAAATGTAAACAATTTTTGCTTTCAATTACTTCTGTCTTCAATTTGGGGTTCCGAAAAAACTATTTCGAGAGTTGTCATCGGTAATGTGCTTCTAGGCATCATGGCTCTGTTTTTTCCCCCTTCCAATTTAAAAAATGACTTTTTCAGCAAAATTTGTTCTACGTCTTAAGGTTCGTTTGGTTCTAGTATGGATGCACGTATTTTAAAATGGTGAAACAGGAGAGAGGGTGAGATTCAGGCAGAAAACTGTGCTTGCCAAGTAGTGAAATATGAGGAAATAATGTAGATGTGACAGACAAACGGATGAGGAAACCTATGAGGGGACGGAGAAAGGAACCAAGAAACTTTCAAGGAAGGAAGACAAGACAAAACAAGAAAATTCAAGGAATGAATGTACACGTAGTGGGAGTGACATCACCTACAAGATAAATTAGGAATAATACAGATTTTTGAACCTACTTCATGAATGGATAAATAGTCTACAACTGCTTGCAATGATATTGTGCTTAATTTGTTTTTTCACTAAACTTATCCTGGATTTTAGATCAAATCAAAATTAGCAGTCCTAATTGCCTAATAAAATCAATAGAAACAATTTTGTTCAGAAAAAAATGTTAACAGAAATGACGAAAACCCTTTAATGCCTCTAAGTTTCTGCATATCACCTACAAAATCACCGTTATACAATCATCACTTGTGACAATTATATTAGACAGGATATCATTTTCAAGCAGAAAAAAATGTCTGACTTTTGAAAAAAATTCTCAAGTCTCAGCTCTGATATGAGTTCAAAAGAGAACAAAAGATTTATTGATATTTATGAGTTTTAAGATGTGCCAATATGAAAGGGTTAATGAACTCTCAACTATGTAGTATATCAAATTGAATGAAGTTAACATTTAGAAAGAAATATAAATATAAATTTAAACTAATTTCTGGGCATAAAAATAGAAAAGCTTTGCAAAACAACATTCCAGAAGTGCACGGATCAATACAAGCAACAAAAGATGAAAAAAAGTATGTTTTTCAAAAGACACAAAGGCCTCGCATGGGGAGAGGTCAACTTAGGTCTGAGAAGCTTCTAAGACTAATATCATCCAAATTTTGACCAGAATTGACTGATTCTTAACTGAAAAGCAAAATTTTGATGAACTGATGGTTTGATATCTTATTATCTTGATCAGCTATGCAAAAACATACAAGAGGGACTAAAAAGCCGCGGGGGGAGAAAATTAGTGCTTGAAACTTTCTTTACATTTATCACTTGCTACGATCAGAGAATTTTTCATTTTTCACCATGGTAAACAACATTTATTTGAGTTATATTACATAATTTTTTTGAACAGGTCGAAAGACCTTAAAATAATTTGGTGAAATAAAAAATGCATTAAAAGCTAGCAAAACAAGGGGAGGAAAAAAATAAAAAATGGGCATAATGTTGGTCAAATGAATTCACGATGCCTAAGATTCAAAGCCTAAAATTTTTGTTATGAAACCAACATTTCAAACTTGTTTCTTCTTTTAGACGGTAATAAAACTGCCATGACAAAGTGGTAGTGCACAAAGCCAATGTTGCATAAAGGAAAAACATCACCCCATCGATAAGACTAAAATTCCATGATGCGCCTTTCCATATTTCAACTACATATTTGACTCAAATATACCACGAATTTAAAGTAAAATCTACAACTCATCAGAGTCGTAGATTTTGCTTTTATGATTTTTACTACAGAACCATCAGGTTCTGCAAGACAAATTGTGGAATGAGCACACAGAATAGTCAAAGTTTTCTTTGAAATGTTTAAATTATCTTCTAAGAGGGAGAGGGATTTAATATTTTTACCTCAGTGTGATTTTAAAAATAGATGGTACATGCAAATAACATGCAATGATGCAAATAATGCTGAAAGCAGGTTCTATTTGCAATGTAACTTAAAATGAACTAAAACTCTAAAATGTGCAAAAAAGGAAAAGCTATGATAATAAAGTTATTATTTGAAAACACAAACACATATCCTTAAAGCAGAATCTAAATAAATGCCAAAGTTTTTTTAAATCAATCCAAGACCCAGTTGAGAATAAATGTCAGAGTGATTAACTGATGGTTTTGACTGATATTGAGGGTCCTCAATTAAAAACTATGGTATTAGTTAAAAAAATGGAGAAAGAAAGTAAGCAACTTTGTATAACTATCTTCAGACTTTTTTGAAATGAAGAAATTTAAATGCATTTTTATGATTCCACAGGAAAAAGCCCTGCATGTTACTTAACTCAAGTAACATGCCTTGAGGCATTCACTCACATCATGAATTTGTGCAATGTCAATGATGAGGTCAAGTGTTGTGATACAAAGTAACACTTTTTGATGAAAAATACACATTACACAGTGAGTTCACTATTAGAGAGAGAGAGAGCATATCTCTGTAGTATGTAAATCGATGGCAAAAGTCGAAAAATGCACTTCTTAGATTTCAACTTTGTTAATTTCTGCTCATGTTTTATTAATTTTTAAAGGAAAACTAACTAACAGTTTCTATTAAGATTTTCTGTAACTCTTCTTCCTTCATTCTAAAAATCACACAAAATTGCAAAGAAAATTGTTCAGTACCTTTTCTAACATAAAACATAAAATGAACAACATACCATTAGAATACGCATTTTTTGCATTTAACCATCGATACTATAAAAAACTGTGGCTTTTTTGTAGCATGGGGCTGCAAGTAATTGAACCCATTTCTTAATGAAGTATGATTTCTCTTTATTTGATACTTTTTGAATAGGTAATTAAGAGAAAATATAAACAGTCATGAAAAAATAAATCATATTTTATGCTAACCTTGGAATCTGCCTTTGTGCCGATAAGTATTTTCTGGTTCAGATTGATTTCCGCTTTGACGTGCGTTCTGTTGTGGATATCCATGATGGTTATAGTAGTTGTACCGCCGTCGTCCCATTTCAGGGGAAGTTACCGGACTTTCTAGCGACGGCATTGGTTTCAACATCTTTTTCAGTGTGTTCGAGTCTAGATTCATTCCTGCATCCATCAAAAATTCAATCAAAACGGGAAAACTAAGAAAAGCAGGGGTGGAAGGGGATATAGATAGCCAAAGTGTGAAATCAGGTACGTCCCTTTGTGTCGCGGCTTGCCATACTTTTTTTTTTTGTTTGGAAAACTAGTCAGCAGAAATTCTTGAAAACTCTTGATTTTCCTTCTCTGTTAGCAGAGCATTCTCTTTAAATATTAAGCTATAAAGTTGGCTTGTTCTTTTTGAAAAAATAAAAGCGAAGCGGAAATTTTGAAATACTGCAATGGAGATAGGTGATAATATAAACTTTCGCCATCGATATATTGAAACAAATGTTGTCAAAACTGTACGTACAAATTTTAGATTTTGCTTGATGAAATAACTACGGTCTAAATTTATTCAGCAACTAGTTGCAAAAAGATGAGAAGTTTGCAGTCAAAAATGTTGTGAAATTTTCCATGTTACAAAACTACCCGTTTTTTGAACTTTTAAATGAACTTTTTAGCTTTTTACAAAATTTTGCGAAGGAAAAAATATACTGTAACCCTGCAGAAATTCCCTGCCACTGCCCCATAAAGAACTTGCATGATTTGAGCACTGCCTGATGTGATGTACCTTCCTATTCTCTTTGCTCCTTGATGATTACAAAATATTAACTGCGTTCCGAACTAAAATTAGAGAATTATATTTCTGGAAATATTTGTGAAATTCTTTTAACTCATTTAAAGATATAAAAAAATTTAGTACATCTTTTACATTGAGAATACGCACATTAGCCATGATCAAAAACCCTTAAGCATGATTAGTATATTTTGAATTACTAAACATCTACTCACCTTTTCCCATCCTGCTATCATCTTTCATTATTCTATTACTGTTGTTATTGTTAGCATTGCATGTTCCATACATCCTAGTTCTATTGATGTTATTGATGTTGTTGTTATTATTTTTGTAGTTGTCATCTAAATAGTCGTTCCCTTTACCCATAGTGGTCCCCAGTTGAGCATCTTTTGTGAGTCTTCCTGTGCAAGTACCCGTCGACATTTGAGTGCCACTGTCTACCTGAGTTCCTTCACTTCGAACCGTTTCTGTTCCCTGCAACTGAAAAAAGATGTAATTTGGAGTTTTTATAAAGGAAAAAACAAGCTTTTTGCGATACAATTCAATTAGAATTGTTTGAAAAAAGGCGTTGAGGTTTGGACACAGGTATAACAGTGCTTTCAAACAACCTACCCTTGACAGTACTAAACGACCCCCCAGCCAAAGTTGGTCACTTGATTCTATCCCTCAACCAGCATTTTTTGGAATGAGGGCTGTACAGCCTTTTTTTGGCTTAATTTTTCACACTTGCATACACGCATATCACATTAGAATTCAATGCAGTTGAACGAACATTGAGATCTTTTATGCAAACACACTTTCATCTCACCATGTTCCGTATTGTGTGTGGTAAGGTAAATTTTCATCAATTTTTTTAATCATTGCAATGGTCACTTGATGCGATAAAGAGATGGAATGTGCTGAAAGCGAACAAAGTCTAAAGTTTCTAAATTTTTTTATGAGAGTCATAAATTAATGACGCTGATGTAAAAACTGAGAATATATCATATGCAGATTGACCAGAGATGGATAGGCTGCAAGGAATAGCTATTGTTCACACTGAAATTAGTCAATGTCGGCATACCCCTCATGAAAACATCAAAATCAACTACGGTCGAATTGACTTTTAAAATCTAACTTCTTGTTGAGCAAATTACTAGAATTGGGTTGTACGAAAATTTCCCCTCTCCTATCAAGCACAGTGCTTGTAAACAAGTCCACAACAATTCAGCACAATGAGGTAATTTATGCTGTCAAAAAACACACTGAGATTAGTTTATTGCCCAATTCGATCAAGTAAAGTTAGAAATTTTATGGAGTGGTGTGTTCAAATTTCCTAACAAAAAACATGCCAATTTATTACGTAGGAATTGAATTTGGAAAGTATGAATTTTTAAAAGTTCACTTTCACGACTCAAGTTTGATGCAAAAGCACAAACTTCCCAGCTTTGCAACAATGACTGCCTGAAAAAATGGGGCAGCCAGCATCAGAGGCTTCCAGTATTTGAGTTTAAGTATGCTGTTCTTCCGGACTCATCGCATGGTCTTACTTTGATTGAATTAAGCGGGAAACCGCCTCAGAGTCATAGTACACCATTTGCGTGTCTTGGGATGAAATATCAGGACTGAAATTGCATAAACATGTATCTCAGGTTTCCTCTTATAATTCCTGAATGATGAAGTAATTTTTAAGAATGCTTACTGAGTATCGAAGAGCACTTTTTTTTAGTTATATCTGAGAATTAATACTTTTCACCTTTGAAAATTAGGAACATAGACAATTTTTTGTTCTCCTAAAAAATTGTATTGATCCTTCATACATATTCCTGCAGTTTTACTATTAATACGTAACCGATACCTGATGAATGCTACTCCCTGGGACAAACATTTCAACTTTAAAATATAAAAATATGGAAACTTCCTCACTTCATCAGTTTGAGATCCAGTGCCAACAGCAACGTTCTGAAGCTGAGGGCCAGCCGATGCTTTTCCACCAGCTGTTGTTGTTTCACGATCTTTCATTTGGCGAACTGTCTGCTTTGTCCCACCGGAGACTCCAGTGCCGGCACTAACTCCGGTTCCACCTGCTACGTTATCATAGAGGGAAGTACTTGAGGTGGCTGCAGTGACTTTATCTACCATCCCAGTTCCATTCACGACTCGGCCAGTCCTTGGCAAAGTAGATGAGCCTGCAAAATTAGGGAGTAAAGTCCGCTCATTAATTGGATTAAAATTTTTCTTCATTAAGATCTTTTGCAATGAAATGAAATTTTGTGGCTCAAATTTTCCCCATTTTTTGTAACGAATACTCCTACAGTTATGATTGCTTCGTCACTTCTGCTATGATAATTTTTCTTGATCTTAGATATTTTACCTAACTCCAAACACAACTTCATTCCTGTCCGGATTTGCCATTTAGGTGCTTATAATTTCATAGAATTTTGCAAGAAACATTATGGTGTCACTGGTTTTATTTGAAATAAATGCCCACGCTAAAAAAAGCTCTCAAAGTTGAGGCTAAAATAGATGCCCCCTCACTGTGCTAAGAGCTCACCCATATATTCAGTGGCGTGGCGTGCTTTGCGATTTATCGATTGCTCTGCCCTTTAAACCTGTGGAAAAGAATCGATTGTTAAGGTGTTCGCTGCAAACACCCTGTTTATCGATCCTTTTCCATAGGTTTAAATGGCATAACAATAGATATATCGCAAATCTCGCCATGCCACTGTCTATATTGAATCAAAATCTATGCACAGCTGGGGAACAAATTCAGCGAGGTTGCCGTGTTCCAGCCTTGGAGTCCTTGAGCAAGGTGGCAACCAGTTAATGTATTTGCTCACTATATGTGCATTGAGAATTTGACAAGATGTAGAGGTGGACTCTCAGCGGAACGCGGAGGGTCCTCTGTTACAACCTGAACTTTGAGAGCATTTTGGAGCTTAGGTGTTTAATTCAGTGAACACCAGTGGTTCTGTAGAGTTTCTCACAAAATTCTACAAAAAAAAGGTACTTGAATTGTGGATCCTCGAGGCATCCAGAAACTCCATTCAGTTTATTTTGAATATTTTTACGGAGACATTACAATCTTGTTATTTTTCTCTCGTGTTGAAATTGAACAAAACATAAATAGTGAAACATATTAACCTAACGACTTTCGTGAGAAGTCATATTAATTGCAGTGCTTTTCTTCTGTAAAATGTCAAGACACTATTAAACCTATGAAGTTCCCTAGCATAGCCAAAATGCTCACCTCGATATCGAGAATCTTGAGCACGTAGTCTGTTGTACTGATCGGGTGTCATGCAGGTACATTGTGGTTCCCTGGATCTACTTGGAGATGCAGGAGTTGAGACAGGCTTTCTTTTGGTTTTGACTTTGCTTTGCTTATTCGGAGGATCTAATTTCAATGAGTACGAAGATGATGCTTTCCGAGAGAACTTGAAGGAAGGTGACTGCAAATGATTCAAGAAAATGGCCATTAGAGTAAAATCACAGATAAAAAAGGTGTGTGACAATTAAATTTACAACTAAACATCATTTATCCATTCACAGGGCAAAAAAGGAAGCCACTCAGTGTTTGTTCTCTACGTTCAGACATAAGATAATCTTTGATTAATCTCAAACTATAGAAGCAGATATCACTCAACAGGCTGGAACTGGGGAAAGAAAAGCACAGATAAATGCCACATCAACCTGAATGCATTATTCATCAGTTGGCACATTGATTATCACATACCTACTTAAATTAATTTTGAATGGTGCCATATTCTAGGGCGACATATTTGTCCATTCCTTTTTTTCCCCAGTTCTAATGCATGCATTCAGGTAGCACCGCCGGTCAATTAAGATGTCAAATCGCAGATTTGACATGCTCCTCGACATGGGATGAACCAGCTTTATCCTGATATATACCTTCAGATGCCTCTCCCAATATGGTGCGACGGGTAATAGCTTCACCGTATATTCCGCACCTTGCGGGTGCTTCATGAATCAATGCTTAAAGATGAAGGGCATTGTCAACTGATAACTCTAACTTCCTGTTATTATAGAAGTACCCAGACAAATGTCATGTGACCGAGACCGAGAAAAAATACTGATTTATGTGTATGGTTCCTAATCACAGAAACGTTAAAATGTCACTAGAAATCTTACTAAGTATAGGTAGTGATGTAAATCTGAATAATGATCATGTCATGTCTTGAGCCAATTGAGAAAGGCAGAGAGACATTCTTCCTTGATAATAGAGTAAGGCAATCTGGAAATCCTTTAATATCAGCTACTAAGGATTCCTTTCTTTCTGATTCTTCGTGGGTGAGTAAATCAGGGGGCTCATGAAGAATAATTGAGACCCACTTGACAAGGCTTAGACTGCTGGTTATGACTTACGAAGCACTGAGTTAGCTGAACTACTGATTGATGAATTGGGCTAAATTTATGATTATAATTTTAAAACTGAATTAAATAACTGAATCAGCAAACATTATGCACAAAAAACCGTACAAAACACGTGTGGGAAATAATGTAAACGTAAACAAACACATAAACAAGTGTTGTCAGCCTCCGCTAGGATCGCTGAATCAAAAGTTTTTGATTGGCTCCCGCCAAAAATATAGGATTGCTGAATCAAAGTGACTGATTGGCTCCCGTCGAAATGCCATCTTTTGGCGCCAATTATAAAATTTGACGCGAAAATTCAAAAAGGCGCGACTGATCTTGAGACGCGCGCCCAGCACAGTACGGCAAATTCTCAAACTTCATCTACGAAATTACTGGAGTAGCTGTCTTCGATTTAGTTGTAACTCTCTAACATATTCTTTACAGGATCTTGCGGATTTTTTTATTTTTTTTTTTTATTTTTTTATTTTTTTTATTTAGTTAATATGATCAACATTACCTAGGGGGTAAATCCGCAAACCGCTTCGAAGTCCAACCTCCCGGGGCACTTCGCGCAGCCTCCGGAATTATGTGTTATTCATTTACTCTTATGATTTTATATCACAGTGTACGATTTTTTTTTCAAATGTAATCAATCTTTACCCCGAAAAGTGTTAAAATCGGTGAGGAAACTCACCAATTCGTGATTCCGATGGTATCACTCATTAATTTGCTGCCTTTCACCTAGATTACAGATCAAAGCGTCACGAATAAGAAAAAATTGAGTATTTGATGAGTACCTCGGCTTTGTTTCTTGAATAGTTTAGCCGGTCAATAATTGGATCGTTATCGAATTTGGTTGATTATGATAAATAACATTACAAAAATAGGGCTTTATCGACTATCGATAGATAAAATTGCAAAGACAGGGATTTATCGATCAGGCTAATTCGATAAGGATTTAACAATTAAGCAGGAATGCGAGTCTACTTAGAATCGCGGGCAGGCAATTTTGAGCTCGCCCACTCGGGAGAGCTCTTTGCGATCGATTTCTTTTAGCATTGGTAGTGTCCGTGGCGACGAATGGATGGTTCTCGTTGCCGTCGGAGGAACGGCCAAAATTCCATTGATTTCAAGGTCTAAAAGTTGAATTTTCGCGGGTTACAGTTTTCCTCCGTCGAACATTTCCGTTCCCTCATTCAACTGAGGATTAATTGTTCCTCGTTTGCTACACTAGAGAGCAGCACTTTCCAGTGGCCGAGCATATCATAGCATGTTGCTATGGTTTTATATCAAATAACCTAATTGTATGTTATCATCCTCTTATCTTTTCAATGCAGTTTTTGTGTGCAGTTGTACTTGCAATTGTTATTATTTCTTAAAATAAAAAACATGGTGACCTCGACGTGATTTAATAATTTGTTCAATTAATTTTAAGTTACTAAGACTAAGATTGAGATTTGCGCATAATTAATGGATAATCCTTAAGATTGCCGTTATTGGTACCATAGTAGGTTAATTAACCTCAAAATAATTGCATGCTTGAGAGCTCGGTTGAGACTCGCATTGGGATCCTTTCAGAGTTTGTTTAAACCTCATATTAAGAATGCTTTAGGATTCGTTTGAGCCCCTCGCATCAAGAATGCTTGGGAATTCGTTTGAGCCTCGCATTTAGAATGCTTGAGAATTCGTTTGAGCCTCGCATTGAGTTTCTTTAGAGTTCGTTTTAACCTTAAAATACAGATGCATGAAGTGCTCTTTCGAGCTCCGTGCTATTTATAGTGCGCGAGGTGCTCCATTGAGCCACCCCATACCTACAAAGGCGTGATGTGCTCCATTGAGCCACTCGCATACAAAGGCTTGAAGTGGTCTCTCGAGCTCCACGCTAAAATTCAAGTGAATTCCTTTTCAGCTCTTAGTGTATACCATAAGTATTGTGTAAGAATTATGGCAGAAACGTTCCTCCAAACCGTGCTAAATTATAGTTTCTTTGAACTCTGTGCCGATAAAAATTCAGAATTCCAGACTGCCAGCTTAACAAAGTATAACCTTAATTCAAGTTGGCGACTTGATTTAAAAAAAAAAAATTAAAATTAAATCATATGATTTCTTTACATTGTTGACAAGTTAAGAAAAAGCTTATCAACGATGAAAGCCAGAAACAAAAATGCGATGGCAAAAATAGCCATTGCAACATTTGCCGCAAAATCACATTCATAAAAGATAATTCCACTTCTCTCTCTTTATTTCTCTTTATTTATTGTAATGTGAAAAATTTGTCATATGAAATTACGTCATAACATTTTGCATCGGCATGTAACCTCTGATAATTGGGTAAAGATTCATTTAATATATATACAATTTCAGAAAAAATCATTAATAGTTGTTAATAGTTTCCCAAAGGCGAGCTCTCCAACACAGTAGTGTTGGAACCAGCAGCTTGTTTGTTTTTAGAATTAAAGAATTCAAAAATGGCTACTCACGCAACATTCTCTGAATTGTTTCGCATCAATGGGTGAAGTGAAGTTGAGGCCCCAAGTGTCATTGGTCATGGGATCTTTCCAGTAGACAAAACATTCTGAAGCTAGTCCAATACGGGTCCCTGAAACAGATATCAAAATTTTAAGTCAAAAGGCTCAAAGTAAGTAATCTGTATTTCAAGAATGAAGCGAATTATTTATTTTACTGATGACGTAAACTGGGTGATTTGCGATTATCGCCACATTTTGTTGGGATAGCCAGAGCTTATCGATAAGTTTAAAATAACTCTTTCAAACGCCAAAACCACTAAATCATTCTAATGAAAAATGTAGTCTAATGGACCAGGAGACAAAGTACAAATTTAAGCATTCTAATACCGTCTATCGTTTTTCTATAGATTATTTTTTCAGCGGAAGTGTAATTTTCTCAAGATTGATTGTTGAAATTTTGGTGAGCGAGTTCTTGTGTTTTAACGGTGCTCATATTCGTCGACTTAAAAACGCGCCTACTTAGAAAACCGCTGAGCGCTTTTCAAATACGAATACGTATCAGCCCAGATAAGACATAATATTTTTACAATATTGGGCAAATATTGTCAGTACTGTCGCAATATTTACACAATACTGACAATATTTTGATAATATTATAATCAAAATTATTTTTTTAGAAAATATTTAAAGAATCATCATTTAGTATTTTTAAAAATAATATGTTTACCCAAAACATCATAAAAATATTTTCAAAATATTTGTATTTCAATACTGTAAAAATTTATATCGTGAGAGTATTTTTAAAATATCAGTACATATAATATTTATATTCAAAATATTTATTATATATTTTAAAAACATTTTAAAAGACAGTAATGCATTGGTAAGTATTTTCAAAATATTTTGAAAATATTTTAAATAATAATACTGCTATTCAAAATATTTTTAAAATATTTTCAATATCCTAATCGGTATAAGTCATCATACTAAATGCCTGCCCATAACGAAAAGTATTAAACATAATAAGGCTTAGATTTAAGACGTAGCTCAAATGTGTTCTTTCTGAACAATTATCCATTATTTTCAACCTTATTATTCATAAAGGTTATTGCAGTTGTTGTCAAATTTAATATAATATAATATTATATATATTTTTTTGCCTCCCAAGAAATTGTTGAATTTCCACCTCCTTGAGGTCATTTTCAATGTATTTGCGCGTGATCTCAGTTTATTTCTTTTTTTGTTTCGTTTGTAGTTCATGTACTGTTGTGAATATTATCATTGAATGAGAATGTTATCATTCATTCACATCTGGTTGTTTATTTTTTATTTTTCAAATTTCAAATGAAACATTTAAATTCAACTGAAGAAGAAATTCTTGATCTCGTGTGCTTATTGGTCTCCTGTAGAACTTGCACTTAGTAGCTGTGCAGCTGTGAGATTATGGCAATCGCACCTGCATAGTCTTTATGAGGAAGACATCAAACTGCAATCAAATGCAAAATGCATCTCAGAATGTCGATGAAAAATTTAAAGAGAAAAAAATTAATAAAATAATAGAATGGTGGAAATAATAGAATAACAGAGACAAAAGAAGAGAAATAAAATGAAGTAAATCAAATTAATGATAAAATGAAGTCAAAGACTAAACTGAAGTAAAACATTAGAGGGAGCAAGGAGATGAAGTAAAAAAACTGAGATGAAGAAAAAAATAAAGTATAAGGGAAAAAACTAAATGAGGTTAAAGAATAGAATGAATTTAAAGAATTAACTGAAGTCAAAAAAATTATGATGAAGTATTAAAATAAATTACAGTAAAACAAAACAAAGTAAAGGAATAAGAAGTAAATAATTAAAGAAAAAAAATGAAGTGCTTGAAAAAAAAAAATAGAGTGAAGAAAAAAATAGAGTCAGCAAGGAAATAAAACAAAGTAAAACGATAAAATAAATTTAAAAAATATAGTAAAGTAAAAAGTAAAATAAATACACGGACAAATCCAGGCAGATGGAAAATATCCTAGTTGCCCGTCCAACTCGACGTTAAATACCGGTTTTAAGTCGCTGAAATACATTGCCTAGTGAAGCTCAATCGGTAGGGTCGTCGGTTAGTGTTAGGTAGGTACCGGGTTCAATCCCCAAGGTGGATGAAAAATTTCTAATCTGCAAAATCGATTCAATAACATTCCAGTGGTTTCTTTATTTTTATTTTTCATGGTTTCTAAAATTATTTCCACAATTAACCCTTTTCCACCATCCCCTAGCTGCGAACCCCTAAATTGATTCAATATTGGTGTAGTATTGTCTCAATATTGATATCCAAATACTTTCCCTTTGAAGTACTGGCACAGTATTCTCAGCCAAAGTATTGGCACAGTATTTATGCCAAAAGGAAAGATGGTGTACGATTTTAACATTGGCTCAATATTTAACCAATATTGGCCCAATGTTTGCATAAATACCAAAACAATATTGTTTAAATATTGGCTAAATATTCCTGTCTTATCTGGGAGAGCTTTCCCGCTTGTTTTTTCCTCGTGACGTCATTCAGACACTCCCCCGTCCCCCTTCCTGGGGGAGTTGAGTCGCGTCACGCATAAACAACGGCCGTTTCACGCTCCGCCACGCCGCCCGCCGGTTCGTGGTCGAAGTGCCGAACTAATCTGCGAGAGGAATCGCTTGATTAATCAGAAATCTTTAATCAAGACCATAAGTGACACACGCGTCCCAGGGCGTTTCCCAAGCTCCATAACTCAAGGCCGTTCCTCTTCCTCTCACGGTTCGCGCCCTGTCTTCAATACTGCCGTGCTAAGGAAGAACGCCGTATGAGCCTTCAGGCGTTGCCAAGTTTCCTCCGATATAAACCGAAACTCCTGGGGAAAATGTGAATATTATTCCCCGAACTTTTCAGACAATTTTGTACGCAATTTAATCTAAAATATCTGAAAATTTCATGGAAAAATAAGCATGAATACTGTCGAAAATACATGTTTCATCAAGGGAAATTTGGCAACTCTAGAATGTTCATACGGCGTTTTTCCTCAGCACAGCGAAATAGAGCGAAATTCCTCGCTCCTCTGACGTAAAGGCGCACCTCGATTCCTGCATGAGCCGCGGAAAGCGTAGTGTTATACGGAGAACAGGGCTCACGCAGGGCGAATTGGAGTTACCTTCGTCCCGGTGCGCGAGGTTTAATGAGGCTCGCAACACAACCTCTTGAAACAGATAAATGCGCCGCGATGTTTCACCGAGTCGATTCCGGGAAGCATTGTCTCGAGGCAGCATCGGCGCGTTCACAATCAGCGGTGACGTCACAATTTGATACATCTCGAAGTCGGTTCTCTCCCTTTGGTTCGATTCACCTTCCTTGCATTGATCGGGCGGACACGAGGCAATGGATACTATTCGTCCTGCTCGTGTGCCGTCATATTGCATACTTCTCCGAATGAAGGCGGATCTTCATTCATTATGCATTTCTCGCCTCGCTTGGAAGTTATTTACTTCTCAAGAGACACTGTCGCAGGATATTTGGACGTCGTTTTTATGCTAAAAGGAACTATGTGCATAGGGTTTGCAAGTAACATAGTTCCTTTTAGTACATAAATACGTCAGTTTGATTATTAGATGAGAATATTAACACCTGGATCAAATGGACCGCGTTTAGCAGAAAGGAACCAAGCTACATCAGCTATTGCAAAATTTAATCGGGAAATTTAATTTTTTACAAGAGAACGTTCGTGCGGATTTCTTTGAAAATTTTCGGGAATTTTCTTCGTAATAAGCAGAAAATTCACTGGAATTTGCACAAAAATCCGCACAACCGTTTTTATGTAAAAATTAAATGGCCTAATTAAATTAGGCAATAGTAGATGTGGCTTGGTTCCTTTATGCTTAACGCAGTACAAATATAGGTTCTACATAGCCGTGCTAAGAAGAATGCCGCGTGAACCTGTAAACTTGACAGACCTTGCCAAATTTCATTAGACAAAAGGTAAATTCTTGGAAAAATCGGGGGAATTCTTCTCCCAATTTTTCAGAGAATTCTGTTCGTAATTTGGACGGATTGCCGCCAAACGGAACCGGAGACAGGTGGAAAAGAAGGGGTGTGCTTGTTAGTCGAGGGCCGTAAGAATACATGGGAATTATAAAGCGCCAGTGACGTCAGCGGCGACGACGGAGAGAGCGACGATCCGGCAACACATTAACTCATGAGCCTCGTTCACAACGCTCTTGTCCCATACTCATGGCTCATGGGTGCCGCATTCAGCTAACATTTGGTTCCATTTGGTAAAATGTAAAATCCCGCTTTTCCCAAAGAGGATCACGCCCACTTTTACATTGTTAAATATCCAGCTTTCTAGAGCACACCCCAACGTTTCCACTTGTCTAAAGCTTTGTTTAGCAGGAATACGTCTCTATCAAACGGAACTATGTGCATTTCTTAATGCACATAGTGACCATAAGCCCTAAGACCCATAAGAATATGCAGGTCAATAACAGGGCTCACGTCATAATGCACATAGTTCCGTTTGATAGAAATACGTACAATTGATCTACAGTGTCTGGAAATTTCGAGGAAAAATATTCATGATTTTCCCCCAAAAATGAAGATTTTCTAAGAGGAAATTTGACAACATTTGAATGTTCATACGGCGCACACTGGACCGAGTCAATAGGAGAAGTCGGACGAAATCTGGCAACTATGAAAGCTTTAGTTATCGAAAATATGAAACAAGAAAGTTTTAAAGTGGCTCCATTGATTTTCTCGTAAAAATTCCTCTTAGAAACCCCCCTTGAAATTGAATTTGTGACGAAATATTTGTGACATGAAATGTTAGCCAAAAATTTAATGTCCAACCTCTTTTGTCAGCTCGTTCCACTGTGCGACGCTCTTCTTTAGCATGCTGCCTTCCTAAGGAGAAAAGCACTATAAACCTTTAGGCGTTGCCAAATTTCCTTTAGTAATATTTGAATTTTCTGGTAAGCTTATGAGTATTTGTCTTCAAATTTTTCAGATAATTTTGCTCGCAATTCCACCGAAAGTCCTGAAAATTTCACGGGAAAATATTGATAGGTAAATTTCCTAAAAAATAAACAATTTATCGAAGGAGATTTGGCAATTCTCGAAAGTTCA